TGAATGAATGAATGAATGAATGAATGAATGAATGAATGAATGAATGATCAGAGACGCCTGTGTAATTCTGGTACTTTGTCTACAGACTGATGTGCCATCTAAACTGATAATGGTTTTTCTCTAAGGCTCTGTTTACATGATGTCATTTTTTAAATGAACCCGTAGCATTTCTTCTGTATTTCTGTCGTTCATGTACACACAGCAACAGTCCTTGTTTTTTCTGACCACGGAGCGTTTTGAATTTAAGTCTCAGAGTGGTTTTTGCAAATGCTCAACATTAGTGTGAAATTGTGCATGTGCACTACAGATGGCTGCAGTGTTTTTCTCCACTTGGAAATAAACCTGACAACAAGCACAATAAGTAACCAAAATACACAGATACTGAGAGTAAGTGTTAAAAAGGAATACTTGTTTTACTTTGCAGCCAGAAAATTATTTTTGTATATCTTCTTTCGCTGTAATTAATCAAAAAAGACAAATAAATAAAAATTCCCACATTATCGGAACAGCTTTGATCATTACTTGTTTTTCCAGTTCCTTGGGGGGATTGAAAAAAATTATAGTGTTCAAATTAGAATCATCAGAAAAAATAAAAAACAACCTTTAGACATTATTCTTTTTATGCCTGTTTATAGAATAAAAGCAGCCGAATTTATCATCAATTGCCGAAGAAAATTACGTTTTAAATGCCACAAAATGCTAAGAATGTATGGGTGGTCCTAATGCTCCATACAACTGCAAAACTAACAAGGCTCTGAACAAGAGCCTGAAAAAACATGAGCAATATGTTTCTTTGCAAATACTAAATGTAAGATAATATTTCTACAAACCCCCATCAGCCTGTTCAGCAGATTTCTGCTATCAGCTACTGATTATCAGCTGATTAGAAGTTTTTATTTTAATGTGCTTCAGGATCATACGCCCATCAAAATCTTCAGCATACACCACCCTTTACTATGACTGATCAAATATGTATATCCTCAGTTGCTCTGTACTGCATTCACTTGTGCTTAGTTCTGTCCAGATAGTTTTAGATCATTGAACGTGCAGCAGAATGTGAATAAGATGGCATGATCCAGCCTTTTCCTACCTGTTCTACTTTACTGCTTCACTTTGCAGTTTGTGACTTTGAGCTGAGCGGTCCAGAAGGTTTTGTGGACTCAATACAGATCAGCAGGGAGGGCCGGGCTCTACAGACTGAAGCTGTGGACTGCAGGTGGTACATCAGGGCTCCGCCCAGCGCTAAGGTGTGGACACTCTGTGTGGTTTCTCACTGGAAGTAATCAGAAATTGATGTTACAACCACTGCTCATGTTTTCTGTTCCCCGCAGATCTACATGCGTTTTCTGGAGTATGAAATGCACAACTCAAATGAGTGCAAGCGTAACTTTGTTGGCATCTATGACGGGAGCAGCTCAGTGGAGCACCTGAAGAATAAGTTTTGTTCCACGGTGGCGAACGACGTCATGCTGGCCACCTCTCTGGGTGTGGTGAGGCTGTGGGCCGACGAGGGGAGCAGGAAGAGTAGATTCAAGATCCTCTTTACAACTTTCCATAATCGTAAGTTTCAGGAAACAAAACAATCAAAAAAACAACAACAATTACAATATTCACTAAATTCAATTTAACCTGTGACACTAAAGGGTTTATTTTACTTAAATTGAAAATGAGCAAATAAAGTATTTAATTTATATCATCCATCCAAATATCTGTTTTCAGAAGAGAAGCTATAAAATAAGCTAACATCCATCCATCCATTATCTTAACCTGCTTCTTCCTTTTCTGGTCACTGGGGTCACTGGTGCCCATATCCAGCAGTCACTGTGTGAGAGGTGGGGGACACCTTGGACAGGTCCAAGTCCATCTCAGGGACACATAGAGACAAAAGAGACAAACAACCATTCACTCTCTCACTCACACCTAGAGACAATTTAGAGTTACCAATCAGCCTAACATGCATATTTTTGGTCTGTGGGAGGAAACCGGAGTATCTGGAGAAAACCAACTGTGCTACTGTGCCACCCAATAAGCTAATGTCAGTGGTTAATTTGAGCTGGATCCTGCTGGAACAAGATCCAGGAACTCCCTCATTTTCACCGTGTGCATTCTGGCAACTGTTCAATTGGCTCCGTCAGCTCATATCTCCGCCCATAAAAGTCATTGCACATTTTTATTTAGATTTTTTATTAAAAATACAATGACAGGAGACGTTGTCCATGTTTGTAAAGTGGATGCTACTGCTACAGCAGGTGCAAAAGCTTGTGCACACGCTGCTGCCAGCAGAGACGCTGACCGCATGTCCCGCGGGGATGCAGCGTCTTCATCCATTTTCAGCTGTGTCTCAGAAACCAAAGCAGCACAAACCAACACTTTAACAGCACAAAGCAGCACAAACTTAGCACTAACCACTTATTGTATTTACTGGAATTTTTGACGTGGGTGGGGTGTCAGCGTCACCTGCTCAGCTGTGCGCCCTGCAGACAGTGCACGTTTTACGCACAGGAGCGTCTCCAGACAGCTCTGCAGAGCGCACACAACTGCTAATGTGACAGAACTGCATACATTTCAAAGATAATAAATAAAAAAGATTACAGTAAAAAAAAAAAAATAGGGGAGTGGTGGCGCAGAGGTTAGAGAAGGTGGGTCTGTGACTGGAAGATCGCCGGTTCAAGCCCCGGTACCGACATCAAAAATGTGGGTGGGGTAGGTGAAGCACCCACACCTGCACCCACCCTCATTCGTCCCACTCTGGGCCCTTGAGCAAGGCCCTTAACCCCCACCATCTGCTCCTCCGGGTGTCCTAGATAGCAGCTCTCTGTTCCACACAGAGGGCTGTGGTAGCTCTGTGGTCTGTGGTTGTGTCAGGAAGAGCATCCGGCGTAAAAATAACTGCCAAGTCTTTGTGCGACTTAGTTTGCTGTGGCGACCCCTAACGCAGGGAGGAGCCGAAAGAAGAATAAATAAATAAATAAATAAAAATATGAGTGAAATGTTTGATGTGTATTATTCACATCACGTTTCAAAATTAGTCAAAATAACAGCGATCAAAATGTCAAAAAGACAGTCCAGTTTATTATCTAAAATAAATGGATGGATGGATTGTCCTTAGCTGGACAACAGAGAATTGAAGCAGTGGTGATAGAGATTGGAGCAGAACAACGCGCAGGACTGAATTCAGGAGTTCCGGTCAGACATTGAAGTGTGTGTGTGTATGTGTGTGTGTGGGCGAGGGGGTGGGGTGGGGTGGGGTGGTGGTGGTGGTGGTTGGGATGCTTGACAGAATCTGAACTGCTATAATTCACTGCTCTCTAAAATAGTCATTTCAATTCAACCTTTATTTATACAAGTTGTTAGTCTCATTGAGCATCATCATTTACGAGAGAGACCTGTTTTTAATCAATTTAATCAAATGTTTACAGATGTTTAACAACCTATTAAAATACACCAAAATGCAGGAAATGGCATCTCTTTTATTCCAAATTTTCTGGGGGAGGAACCAAGGAACCTCCTGCCAGCTATTTGTGTTCCAGCATCAATTGTTTTACAAATTAAGCCCTGGCTAATGTCTTCCACAAAATGCTAAATCAGTGATGTTTTCCTGTGTCAATATATTATAATTAAAGGCCTTATATTGACAGCATGCATGCAGTGCATGCCACCTGCTGCCCTTCATGCCGACTCGTTAAATTAAGACATGGAGTTATAGCCTTTTTGGTAAAGTTTCTTTTGGCTGCGCCCTTCTTCAGGGGTCACCACAGCGAGCAAACTTGCATGAATGATTTAGCAATTTGTTTTACGCCAGAAGCCCTTCCTGACGCAACCCGGGCTCGAACCCACAACCTCAGGATTACAAAACCACTGCACTGACCACCAAGCTAAAACTTTGAAAATGACATTATGCACAATCTTTTGTGATTCTGCAAGAAGTCACTAGATCTATTAGTGCTCTGCGTAAATGATGCGGATGTGTCTCAGCTACTACCAAATCAAACTTTTGCTCAGTATCTGTAAATATGGCAAAGTTATAGCCATTTTTTGTGCTGGCTAAAGCTGACTAGCTGTGGCAGCCTTTTGATATGTTTAGACTCCAAAAGTTTATCAGGTGTGAATGTGTAAGTAAAAATTACCTTTGAGAATTTATCTAAAATTTGTCCAGTGATTCATGCGATATTATGCTAAAATGCAAAAAAGGATTTACACCAAGGGTTGTTCAAATCAGCTTTACATGAAGCACATTTAATACAACAGGAGCTGGCCAGAATGCTGTGCAATAAATCCCACAGCCTCAGAATAGTTAAAAGTCTTGTTTCTTTTTTTGTTTGTTTCTCTCAGGGGTCATCACATGAGATCATTTGCCTCCATTTTGCCCTATCCCAGCATCCTCCTCTTCTGTCACCAACCACCACCTCTCCAGCCTCTCTTCCACCTGCGCCCTACCTACTTTCACTGTCTACTCGCAACGTTATCTACAAACAAGATAATAAAGGAGTACGCTTCCATAAAAAAGTTAAGTTAGTTAAAACAAAGTGCTATACAAATATAAAAACATAAAATGTGCAATGAAGTAAAAACACAAATATGTTAATTAAAGCAAAAAACATTAAATACATGTCTTAAGTTGTGTTTTATTATTAAGCACTTTCAAATAGATAATGCGATTTTCTTCTGAACATGATCAACTTAAAAAATCATGAAGTATATAACAAGGTTTAGTATGTTGTTTATTTGTCATATGCAGGTTAACACAAGGTCAACAATGCAATAAAATGCTCAAGATGAGAAGAACCTTTTAAACTTGCAACCCCCCCCCCACCCCAAAAAAAAACCCCAAACAAACAAGAAATACAAAAGCATGCAATAAAGGTACAAAATAAAGTACCACAAGTGAAAATAAATATAATTACAAGGTCCAAAAGAAATATAGTAAATGACAACATAGTAGAATATAACAGTGCAAGTAGGATGCATTCATATAAAAGAGAGTTTCATAGGTTTGCTTAAATGTATGCAGATAACATTTAGTACACAGATTGTGTGATAGCTTATTGCACAGGTAGTGAGTAACATTTAGATGAATTGAATTATGATGGTAAGGTAGTGACATACGTGATACAGCCACATAGTGCAGCAGCACTTGTTAGTAATTGCTTAATTTTCAATTCTTAAATTTTATTCATAGTAATGCTGAAAAAAGGAAAAGATAGTACAGTAGTCCCTCGCTACTTTGCGGTTCAAATTTGGCAGACTCGCCCTTTCGCAGTTTTTCAAAGTAAGATTGGACATGGCACACAGTTGGCTTTTGGATGAATGAGCCACAAGATCGGCATGCAATTTTTATTTAAAATAAATTATTTTAAATTATTTAGCACCTGCTGCATGCAGCCTACATGTGCAGGGAGAAGCTCCCTCCTGCAGCATGTCGCTCTCCACTCTGCAGCGGAGAAGTGGGCGTGGCCGAGAACCTTGGCAGGTAGCAGAGATTCAAGATCATGACATGCTGTGCTCTTTTAGTGCGTTTAGAAACATTGTTGAGAATATCGCAAGAGTGTGGGAAGGGTTCAAAACGCTATATATATAT